AAGAAAAACTAAAATTACTTTCCCCCTATTAAAATACTTTATTGCCTATCTCTATATTCCATTTCAAGCACATATTTAACTCAAAACTGAGTATACTACTCTCTGTGTGGAGATGGGAAACATAAACGAGATTTGACAGTCCAATTGAATCAAACAGAATTGCACATATGATACTAGAAGCTGGAAATGAAAGAAAGAAAATAAAAGGAGTGAGAATGCAAAGGTTGTGTTAATTTCTCATACAAAGACAAGACTAAAAAACAGGGAAATAATAAGTTTCGTGAACTCAAGAATAAAAGCTTGCAGTGCCTTCGGGTTTCACAGTTTCATTGCACTTTACAGTATCTAAGAACCAGCATGATATGTTCATATGAAGAACTAGCACTGCTTCTTCAAAATTTAAAGTAATGTACATTAGGTCATAGAAAAGAAATCATCAAGTATATAACTCATTTAACAATACAAAACTCATCATGTCTTATAAACCCCGTGTTCCTGGAATGGATCTCTTAGTTGTTGAGAAGGTTGCCCAAAAGCGGTATATAAGACATACCCGGTAAAACTTACAAGTAAACCAGATATAAAGATGGCGACTAAGGTTGCTGTTTCCATTATGATTATATAATTTCAAGACCCCAACGGATCTATCATAAGATCGTTTATTTACAACGGAATGGTATACAAAGTCAACGGATCTCAATGAATACAATAGGATTTATGGCTACACAAACTGTTGAGAACAGTTCTACAATCGGCTTTTGACGGATATTGTCACGTCTTGACTCAACGAGCTTCAGGCTCGGAGATATATTCAGATATTTGGCCCTTAAATCGGCTTTTGACGGAATTATCACGTCTTGACTCAACGAGCTTCAGGCTCGGAGATATATTTATGATTTAGCCTCTAAATTGGCTTTCTAGTCTCAACGAGTTTAGACTCGGAGTTATATTTCTTGGCCTCTAAGTCGGCCCACAGATCTGTTAAAATTAGCACGTGCTTATAACACTGCTTGGGATCCACAAGCTTTCAAATATAAATTTCAGCAGCAATTCAATCAACATATAAGCAATAGATTAATATACACGAATCCATCATATCCTTTGAGAAATGATAGCGTATAAAATACCGAAGTATTCGCTAATCATTCTCGTTTGTCTTTTCGACAATAGATCGAGGATCTGGATTTTCGTAAAATAAAATAGAGAAAGAAAATACGAAAATAGCAAATCCCTATCGAGCAAAAACTCGTGCTGATAACATGTTATAGAATAAACTATAATAACTCAAGTATGTGTATATATATTACACGAAGGAAATAATATATGTTGAAAGTACTATTGAACTACTACAGAATATAAACGAGAGAGAGAGAGAGAGAATAATTGCTGAAGAAATTTTTTGTATATCTCCATTTCACTTGATCAATACTTCTATATATACAATGAGGCATAAAAGCCTTGTCATGCTAAAGACATAGAAAAAATGACACGTAACATAAGCCTTTGAATACTTAGTCCATAAGATAAGGACTAGATATATATATTATAATGATTTTCTTTTTTTTCTTTTTCTTTTGCTTTTTTGTTTGTTTTGTTTGTTTTTTTTTTTTAATTCCTTTTTGTCTAAAGACAAAATTACACTATATAATAAAAGGGATTATTTTGTAGACCCTCCTCGCTCCCAAATTATATAGAACTAACTATCAAGTGGATTACACTTTAAGGAAAACCTCCTAATTTCGAAAATATTTTAATATACCTCGTGGGCCCCTCTGAAGTACCTATAATACCCTTTTAAAATCAGTTTTAAACCCTAGACACTCACATTTCGGTCTCTCTTCTTCTCCCAAATTCAAAATCCCGCCTCACAAACTTCCCACCGGTGAAATTGCTTCCCGGAGCCATAACTCTCTCTCCGGTGGTCGGAATTCGATGGTTTAACTACCGTTGGATTCCTCTCGTCGGGCTCTTTCTTTTGGTGGTGATTTCATTCAGTTTGGAGCGCATATCTGATTTTGTAATTTTTTTTCATTCGACGACGATGGTCTTGCCGGAGGTGTTCTTTGTGTTCCACCAGTCGAAATTTGATGGGTTACCCACCATTGGATTCCTCTCGTCGAGATCTATATTTTGATGGTAATTTTGTTTATTTTTATGTTTACAGATTTATTTCTATAATTTTTCGCATTTGTGGGTGCGCGAAACTGAGGGTGGTTAGTAGAGGCGCCTAGGGTTTTGGTAGGAGGCGAGGGGGGTGAGGATTCACTGTATGTGTTGATTTAAAATTCGTAGCATTTCCCAGCAATAACCTCTCTCTCTCTCTCTCTTAGATGTTGATTTTTGAGTGTTTTGATGTTTCTTCAAATTTTGTTGATTTGCAACTAAGTAATTTTTTTTGTTTTGATTTTGCAATTGCAGCTTATGAAAGCCATTGATCCTCTCCTTGAAGGTGTCAAAAATTTGGTTGAAGTCACATGTGAAGCAGTGTTTACAGGGGCGGAGCCAGGATTAAAAAGTAGGGGGGGCTAACTAAAAATAGGATTACACTGCGAATTTTTAATTAAAATAATATATATATAATTTTATAATATTTCAAGTATGACAAAAAAATCTAAATTATTCTAAAAATATATTGCACTTAATGGGATTCATGGCACGTCTCGTATTATTTTTTAGAGACATTGATATAAAAAATCAAAAAGATCGATAAGTAAATATTCATAAATTTTATTTAAAATAGTACAAGTTTTAACCATTTTATATTATTTTTTTATATTAAATATAATATATATCTATAATTTATATAAAATTGTGGAGAATAAACAAAAAAATTAAGGGTTAAGATACATATTTACAAAACCTTTGGGGGGGCCAAAAGTAATATTCAAAAAATATTATGCCAAAACAGCAAATTTTTTTTTTCTTAGGGGGTCAACCGCCCCCCCCCCCCCCCCCCCCCCGTCCCTATGTAGTACCGCCAGTGAGAGTTTGACAGACTGTATACATTACTATATATTACTATACATATATAGTAACATGTAGTTATATATGTATATATTTTTGTATTTTCAATTTTTTATTTTTTTTGGTTTTGAGGTGATTTATAATAAAAATATTGACATTTGTAAATTTTTATTGGGGTTTATGAATTTCTTTTGCATAAGCCATTATTCGTGTGTGTATACAATTGATCGACTAAAAATATGGGGAAAAATAACGAACATAACTACGAATTACTATAGGTATTATAGTTACATTTAGTTATTTTCAGTACAACAAACATATTATTTTGAAAATTAAAAAAATTAAAAAATTAAAAAAATTGAAGAATTAAAAAAAAAATATATATATATATATATATATATATATATATATATATATATATATATATATATATATATATATAAATTTAACAAACAGGTTTATTATTATTTATAAAAAAATAATAATAATAATAATAAATAAATCAGCGAAAATGATAAATACAATACCAGAAATGCTGAATGCAGTTTGGCCGAAAATTGCATATAAGGGTAGTATAGTACTTTCCCTTCTCCAGGGGGTATGTCAAATGATGATTTGGGCTTGGGTTTATCCCTAGTTTATTTGGTGGCTAGGAGGGGTTATGTAAAATAACCCCACAATAAAATTACCCCCAATCCTTTAAAATTAATTCTTAATTCTAAATCTAATTTAACTTTAATTTAATCAATTTTGACCACAAAAATTCAATTTTGACTTTTTCTTTTTTAGAATTGTTTTTTTTCTCTGATTTTTTTTCCGGCGGCGGTCTCCGACTGACTTTTATTTTATTTTATTTTATTTTTGTTTTTTCCCTTAAATTTTTATTCGTTTTTTATACATCTACAGCTGGATATTGACAGTAATTGTAATGTCATTAGCAATAATTATATTGTCAACCACATCAATATTATTTTCTTTTGGCGTTTTTGTTTTGTTTGATTTGTTGAACGATTAACGTAATAATATTACTGTCTCTATTGTAATATTACTATAGACACAATAATATTGTTGTGGTTAACGGTAATATTATTGTCGTTACAGTAATATTCCTGTGGTTGACAATAATATTACTGTCAACCACATCAATATTAATTCTTTTGACATTTTATTATGTTTGTCTTTGCTAAACGGTCAACATATTAATATTACTATAGTACACAATAAAAGTGATTTTTTGTTGTGTTAATATAACAATATTATTATGTTAAACAGTAATATAGTTAATATGATTGTCAAACACATCAATATTACTGTTTAAACGAGCAATAAAATGTTGAAGGAAAGAAAAAAAAAGAGTCAACACCCCCGGGCGCCGGCGTTAACCGCCGGTTATTTGAGGTCAAATTGAGGTTAAATTAAATTAACTGATAAAACTGAAACCTATTAAAATGTAGGGCCGGGGCATTTTAATTTTTTACACTTCTCTAAAATTTTAGTATTTAGTATTTACAAGAAACACAAGTTTGTTGTCGTTGCATCTTGTCTAAATTTTGGACCAGGAGTAGGCTCGGCTCTTAGAGTTGGGCTAACACATATTACATATCATTAAACCTCTATAAATTAATACAATCAGGAAGAGAAAATTCTTTTAATTTAATAAATTATTAAATTGTCGAAAATTCTTTTAATTTAATAAATTATTAAATTGTCGAATTAACAATTTAACATGTTTTTATCGAATCCATACCTAATTCAAATCAGAGCAAACCATTCCTTGTCCCATTAAAATTAACTCCCAAGTGCCCGCATGGGTGTAGCTCAACTGGTTCCGGAGGTGGTAAGTTGGTGCAAGGTCCTATGATCGAATCCTGGCAGCCGCAGTGTGGGAATTTCAACTCCAATTGTGGGCACCAGGTCCGGGTCCGCTACCTTAACGGGCCGTTGAATAACCATGATTTACATTCCTCCATCAATCCTTGTCGGGCCAAGGGATGGGGGCCCTGGGGGCGAGGGATTTCGCCTTTTGGTGCAAAATTAACTCCCAAGTTCTATTTTCTTACGTTTCGTATGAAATTAAGCAATACGTGTTTCCAAAAGTTAAAATAGGAAAATTATAAAAGGATTATATAAGTGGAATGCAATTTAACAAAAAAATTCAATCAGCAAACAAAAATTGGAAAAAAAGTGAAAAAAAACCTTCTCCTCGCAAAATTTTTTCGATTGTGTTCTAGAGAGAGAGAACAGAGGAAGAAAAGATGGCAGAAGAATCTGAAAAGCGGTTCGAGGCAATTATGAACAAGCTCTTCCACTCTCCTCCGAAACCCAAACCTAATTTTAACGGCACCAGGTAAATTTTCTCAGTTTTTTTTCCTTCTCCGATATTAAATTCGAAGCATTATCTATTCAAATTCACGCTATTCAATTTGATTTACAATCAAAGCTCGATTTTTCTTTTTTTTTTTTTTTCCTTTCTCGTGTTCGGTAATTGTAATGGTGTTTGTGCTGTTTGTGTTGATTGTGCGCACTAGGCATGGAGTTCAAACGTTAAGCGGACGAAAGCGGCTGCATTCATCTTCGTTGCGGGGAGGCAATGTGGTCCAGGAAACAGGTAGCTCTTCAGCTCAAGGGCCTCTCTGCAGACCTTGGGATCGTGACGATTTGCTTCGGAGGTTGTCCACTTTCAAGTCTATGTCCTGGTTTGCTAAGCCACAGGTTTGCCGATTCCACTGCCGTTTATTTTCATTTAATTTCTCTAAAAATTGGATGTCTCTGCAAAATTTACAACTTTTGTTTGTATTTAATTATGTAAAAGGGTTTGCACTTGGTATAGCGATTAGGTTTCTGTAGGACTACTCTCGAGAGTGGAGACCTTTTTATGTTGGTTTTTGACTGGGTTAAAATATGATAAACACCACTGCTTACTGCATGATGTTTAAGTCCGAAAAGCTTTCAACTCTTCCGATGTTTGCGCTCTTCCCCGGATCCAAATTTTTTTGCCCTTTTTAATCTAAATCAAAATTGCCAATTTGATAAATTTTATTGTGATCGATTTTTGTTTCATGTTAGCTTGTATTATAAATAGACTGACATCAATATACGACTTATACACACCTACTACCATCTCAATTTAGTGAAATAGGTAATGATTAGAATTAATAAAATTGTTGGTGTGAACACTCAAGCTGGAGTTTTGATAGCTCTTTCTTCCATCTTTGTATATGTATACTTGTGTAAATATGTGTGTATAAATATACGTGTATTTGTACTCCATATGTGACTGTATTATTAATAAACATTAGGTTAGGCTCAGCATTAACCAAAAGTATTTCACTGTTTAGTTACTAGTTAGCTAGCTTGTAATATGGAACCACCTTGCGTAAAGCTGTTTTGTATTTGAAGTCAATGTACCATCATAAGAACATATGTCATACAAGAAGTTTGTGGACAGAATGTTGCTTGTTTTGATGACAGGAAAAGATACTGGTGTACCGTTGCCCAATAATAGCACGTTCTATGGAAATCTGTAGGAATGGAAAGCCTCCAAATTTTTACTGGAACATGGATGGAGCTATAAAATTTATTTTTCTTAGTGTTTATTGTAAGATTGTCGTAAAGCTTGTTTACTGTTTAGTGGAGCTATGTGGGGGCAGGAGTAAGTCAGACATTAAAAGTGGTTATTATCAATTTTAGCACAATGTGTTAAGGGCATGTTGGTTAAGCATTAATGTAAATGAAAATGCTCATGCCTGAAAATATCCTTCAATTAAGTTGAGCAAAATTTAGATGGGTTTAGTGACTAATTTTTGTTGGTTAAAAAAATCTATATATGAAAAGTTAAAAGACATGAAAAATGGAAGTATGAGATTATTTCTGAAGCTTGAGCGCATAAGACAGTTTTTATTTGAGATATCCTAGATTTGGAGAACTTTCGAAAAGTTGTTGTTTTACACAACTGAGTTCTTGATTCAGCATGTCACTCCTAATATGATGCTGACTTTGACATCATCTATAATTAAGCAAGAATGTAAATATCTTCAGTATTATTCCAATAATAAGTGAATTAGTCTTACATTTGCTGATTCATATTTTGGACTGGGTACCTTTCCGTTTTACCTGCAAATTTGCGGACTGTTACCCATAAGCTTGACTTAGCTAACCAAGCGGATAACTCTGTACTCTGTTATAGTGGTCATTGGTAATCAATGCTGACAAACTAAAACAACATTTCTACCTTCTTTTAGATAATATTATTGGAAATATTGGAAAGCATCCATTCTAATTCTGTTATTTGAAGCAAATTGTTAGGATACGTGGGCGAGAATATAGGGATATCAGTTATATTTGTTGCTTTAGTGGTTTCTTATTGTTCCCTACTTTTCCTTTTCTTCTGGTTGGCATGGCTGTATGTGAGGGCTTGTTTAAGTAGAAAGCTAGTAGACAACATCAAATAATATGAAATAGGAAAATTGACATTGAGGAGTGATATTGTGAGTTTCTTTCATGTAAACACTCTTTGGATTACATTTGCATATGGTATAGATAGTTTGAATTGGAAATAATACATTTCATCTTCTTAGGTGGTGAGCCCTTTGGAATGTGCTAGGAGGGGTTGGGTTAACGTAGACACGGACACAATTGCCTGTGCGTCATGTGATTCACGCCTCTTCTTTTCTACGCCATCAACATGGACACGACAACAAGGCAAGTTACTTTTCCCTCTAGCTCTTTTATTGCAGTATTGTTTTTCCCTTGTTTTACTATATTCTTTCATAGCATCATCATTCTTTTATTCTCAAGTTACCAAGTTTTTTTCCGGGAGGAAATGAAAATTCAAATGTCTGAATCCAGATTCTTTTTGGTTGATGTTCAATCAGTTGAGAAAGCAGCCATGGTATTCAGCTTAAAGCTGGAAAGTGGTCATAAGTTACTATGTCCATGGACTAATAGCGCCTGCGAGGAAGAACTGGCTCAGTTTCCAACTTTATCAAGGGATGGTTTGATTGAGGATTACAAGAAACGGGTTTTCTCTCTATCGCAGCTAACAGCCCTTCCAGTTATCTCACGTGCGGCCATTGATAACATGAGAAGCTCTGAGCTGGAGAAATTTCTTAGTGAATCATCAGCTTCAGGGCACCACGAAACTCTTCCAGAGCTCACAGAAGATGTACCCGAGTCACTTTCTTCTGTCTTATATTATCAGGTCTGGCATCAAATAACTGACAAGTGCAAAATTGATTTTATATCAAAGTTTTAAATGTGACTAAATATTCTACGTGACTGATACCTGTCCAATTTTTTAAAAGGTGTAAGGTATTGGGCTAAATGTTCACATGTCCTGGTGCGGGGCTTAAGCCCTTAGGCATGATGCATAACTCCCATAAGTCCTTATATTTAATAGATTAAGAATATCAAGTAATATCAGATTTTCTTGATAATACATGTAGGGAGGAATTATATTGTTAGCTCTTCGGATTCCAAATAATAGAAGAAACTTTTTTTTATTAAAACCATGAGATAAATAAAAAAGAACCTGATAAACATATATGACATCCCCCAGCCTCACGATACTGCATGGGTAGTGCCCCAAGGCTGCCTTTGAAACATTGTACAGCATTCCATTTTCAATTATGTATTGCTGCATGTAGCCTTTTCATTTCACTCGCATGTAAGAGTAAAATTATAGTTTCTTGCTATCTCATTCGCCATATTCTAGTCAATGTAATTTAAGTTACCTTGTGAGCTAGGTTGTCAAGATTCACAAAAAGTGTGTCTAAGCCTACATAGGCATAGAATATCTCAATGCCCATTGCATAATGTTTATGGTATGTCAATTGCATATGCTGATCATTGTCTCTAAGCGAGATATATGGCTATGAAGAAATATCAGCTTCTTTTGTAATTTTCGTGTGAAATCATGCATTGGATTTACTGATTTTTTTTCATACTATTGTAAAACATAAATTTCAGGATGCGTGAGCTAGCGGTTTATGATAGTTTCTATGCTGATGTTGAGCTCTGTTTTTAACTAGATTTACTTACATTATCATCATTTTCATCTGTTCCTCTCAATAAGGTTTTGATTAGTTAGAAATAACATAAGCTCACAATGACTTCTGGAATATGCAGGCACAAAAGCTCATAAGTTTATTTGGCTGGGAACCTCGTATTAAACCTTATAAAGTTGACTTCAAGGATGGACAGAATCAATCCGTTGAAGACGCCGGTGGTATTGCTACAACTGGACAAAAGCCGAAAGTAAACGTCTATTCTCTTTTAACTAGTGAGGGCACCAATGCTTCAAGTGATCCTGAGTTTGATCCTAGCTCTGTTGTGCTGGATTGCAAGCTATGTGGGGCTAGTGTTGGATTATGGGCTTTCAAAACAACCCCACGGCCTTTGGAGTATTTAAGATTTGTTGGACTTACAGAAGTTACCGATAAAAGTATCACTATCCATGATGAAGGTTCTTCAGGTACTGTTTCGACTGCTTCGACATCATCAGGTTTCACTATTGCTGGCGGTCCTCCACCTGCGATGCTGAAATATGGTGCAACCATATCTGTACCCTTAATTGGCCAGAATCTGAGAGCACGATTGTCAGTAGAAAATGAAACTAACAATGCCGAAGGAACTTCTGATTTCACTGCCAGGAACCTGTTAGAAGTCCTTCAATCGGTGGGAGAAGATTCCATTTCTAACGTCGACTTATCGAAAACTGGGACAGCATTTAATGCAGAAGTCGCAGATCATCATAAGTTTGATAATGCTCAAGAGTTCTCATGCTCATCACCCAAGGAAAACACCCCAAGTAGAGAGAGTGGAGGAGTGAGTGAGCCTGTTAGAGAAGAGATGGTTGAAGCTGGAAACCATGAACAAGGCATTCCGAGTAACTCCCTAGATAACCCTACAACAGGGCTATCTGTGAAGCACAAAGCTGCCTCCTTTAGCATAAGTAAGTTAATTCATATTTTTATTTTTGTATTTCAGTTCGTTGTTCTTTGGTTTCTATCTCGTTTTTGTTGGGTAATTGCATTTTCAGCCATCATTATGGCTTTGTTTGGATCCAGGAAAATGCTAAGTAAAAAGATGAAAGAACTAGCTAATATAGATTTCATGTTTGGTTAGAAGGTAGAATACTAGGTAAAATGATTTGGGGAAAAAATGTAAAAAATATTTTGTGACTTCAATAAGGAAAATACATTTTCCTCAAAAAAAAAAAAAAAAAAAAAAAAAAAAGAAAAAATTAGTAAACTCTGGCAGGTTTTCTGTCGTCTTTCAATTTCAAATCCTCTCCCTCCATGGCAGAATCTGAAATCTAGGGTAAAGAAAATGGTTTTCCACAAAGTCAATTTTATCACCATTTTCCTTAGGAACCAAACATACTAGAAATTTTTAAATTCTCTGTTTTCATTTACTTTTGTACTTTCATTTTCCTCAATTTAAAATCCATGAACCTAACATAGCCTAAATACATGTTCCCGAGTTATTATCTCCAGAGACAATTCATCAATATTAGTGGTTTAAAGTAGGTTGTATATTGCTTAAAAATCCATCTTGCATTTGACTTGCATCCTTGTTTTGGTGCGTGTGGAAAAATATTGGTGTCTAGTCTATAAATTTGAACCAACTTTAAAATTAAAATTAATATAGCTGTCAAGAAATTAATTATATTTTAGGTGATTGCAAGTTTGTGCGAATGGGAGTTTACATCTGTTAAAAGTGGTAGTACTTATTTGTAGTACTTATTGAAGTTTCTTTTCTGATTATTGCAGGAGAGGATAAAAAGTTACCATCTTTATACGATTCGATGGAATTTGATCCAGTCAAGCAGCACAGGCACTTTTGCCCGTGGATTATCTCTACTGGCAAATTTGCTCCGGGATGGAAACAAACATTATCTGCTTTAGAAGGGCACAAGGAGCACATCAATATGCCTTCATCTAACTTAATTGAGGTAATTATTATAACCTAGAACAAGAAAGATGATGGCCTTTTCAGATTGCGATATTCAAATGGATAAAAAAGGGAACCCCTCACGACCAATTTTATTCAACTTTAATTGCAAAATGAAGCTTTCTTAGTATAGCACGAACGCTTTTGATTAGAAATCTTAGACCTGAAACTTTTTGACTGCCAAAGTTTTCTTTTGTTTTTTTTTTCTTAGACTAATCGGGAATTTCTAGATGAGTAAACACAAAAACGAAGATGAAAACTTCTCCAACCCTTTAAATGTATCAATTCTCAATATAATAACATTCTAGCACTAAATAAATCGTTCTCAGGTTCTGTAGAGTATTCTCTAAATCTTTTGCAGTCATAAATACTGATTTTGCTTTCTTCTGTGTATGTTCTGGACTGATCTTAACCAACAGCGACGAGTCAAAAGTTTCCATTGTTTTATAAACTAAGGGACTAATCCTATCATGTATTGTACGGGTTCTTCTAGAGCGGCCCCTTTGTGGGTTTCGAAAGACACGGTTTTAAGTTTGAACAAAATTGATAGATGACGGATTTACTGTCGTTATTTTGAACTTTAGCTCGCAATATCTTCTATTTTCTCTTGAAGGATAAAAATAAATGTGCACTGCTGTGTTTATTACATGCATGCGGATCATGACTTAGAACATAACTGTCGCTTGTGAAGTTTTAATTATATATTCTCCTGGACATTCTCTTGCATATTTGTGAAGTAGTATAATTTTTTTTGAAGTGCAACGAGTTTTGACGTTTTGTGTGGATCTTCATTCGGTTAAGTTGTGGTTATGTGTATTGTTACAGGTTGATGATCCAGTTACATCAGTGCGAAATCTTTTCAGAAGTCCAAATGAGAAAAGAACCAAGTTTTCTGGTGGAAGCGCCTGATACTCTAATTGATAGGCGCGTAAAAAACCTGACGGTATGGCTTTTTTTTTCTTTTTTTTTTTCTTTTTCGAACCACATTTCTATTGAGCTGTTGAGGAATGTAGGATGAAGGGTGTAAGATATTTCTGCTCTCGACAGAGTATACATGAGATGATGAGATATCAATCTCATACGGCACCTTGTTCGTTTATGTAGAATTATCATTACATAATTTATCTTAATTGAATTGCAATTAACTCAGGCCGGTCTTCTTTACTGAAAAACACTGAGCCGAATGCAAAATGTATTTTGTAAAAATACGTATTTTCTCTATCAATAGAATATTTGGAATTGCTGTTTTTGGTCGTGGTGGTGTCGTATTAGCCTCAAGAACCTAAGACAATGATTGCATTACATTATAAGAATGCTATGTTTTACGAAATTCTCAAAATATACAGCGGCTGGAATAATGTTTTATGTTTGAAAGAGAATCGGTGTTGGTTCATCCAATGAGACCGCAATTTGTGACGACAACTTTCGAGTAAGGTCGGTTGAAGCCTCTTTCTGCTACCACAGCTCTCTTGTCTCCTATTAGCTTTGCTACCCTTTTCATAAAATAAATAAATAAAGTAAGAAATAAGTTATAATTATAATAAAGGGTAAATTACAAATACCCCCCTGAGGTATGGTTAAATTACAAAAAACCCCCTCTTGTTTGGATAATTACATCTACCCCCTCAACTATGATTTTTTCTTACCTTTATGGTGCCAAATTCAACATAGTCATCTAGATTCCGTGAAATGTGCTCTAGTTTGTACTCTTTGTGTAAAAAATACAGTTTTCGATGCACCACAAACTCATATATACAAGCTAAAAATCACATATTATGGTCATCTTGCTTCACAATGTAGAGTTTGAATGGGATAAAACGGGTACAAAAGTGATAATATTCCATATAATCTCGAAGATTCCACTAAATTTGATGAGTTGAGGGGGGTGGTTGTAATTATCCAAACAAGATGGGTGTTTTTGTAATTTGGTCATACCTTAGGGGGTATTTGTAATTTACCCTATAATAAAATAGAAGAATAAAAGAATTTGAGATCCCATGTACTGAACAAGAAGTGGTGCAATTTTGATCATCTCCTTCTAGTTGGTCTCAAAGAGAAATAAAATCAAGGTTTTATTGCATAATTGTATCTTCATATTTTTACTCAAATTGTTAAACAAAATTCATGTTATTTTTATGAGCAAATATTCTTCAATGATTCAAGGGTTATGTGTTAAAAAATGCATTGAAGATGAATCTTTGCTAATAAGAATAATATAAGAAGATTTTTTAGCAATTTGACACAATACATAACATTGGAGTTTTTATAATTCCCTCAATAAAATTACATTCTTATGTTCGTATTAGGGGTGTAAATTGGACGGTTGGATTGGAATTAGCCTTTTGGAAAAAATCCGATTTTTTTTCGAAAGTGAAAAACTAGGTATAGTTACGTTAAAAAAATGGAAAAATGCGGAATTAGAATTTCGAAACTTGGAATGAAAAAACTTGTTCCAAAATTGGAAAATTCGGATTGGAATCGGCGGAATTCGGAAATTTCCAAATTTTGGTCACGTAAAATATAAAATACATAATAATATTGGTATTTTAAGTGTAATATTCGAATTTGTTTTCGCAATTTCCTAATTATTTTTGGAACTTAAACGGATCAGAAATCGAAATCTCATATATATTCCAATTCCGATCCAAATAATTTTGGAAAAATCGGAACTCGGAATTTCAGAAGTCGGATTGAAAAATATATTATTCCAAAATCAGAAAATTTCGAATTAAAATCGGCGGAAAATAAAAAATTCGTTCCAATTTCCACCTCTAGTTCGTATCGTATTCAAAGTGCCCTGATGATGATAAACTTGCACATGACAATCAAAAAGTGCATAAATCTACTTTGTCAATAACTAGAATCAAAATGGATACGCATCTTTAAAAATTCGTTTGATAATAAGATCAATTTACTCATGTTCAGTTTGAAACCGTTGTGAAACATTTTGATTGAATTAAAGATAATAAATAAGAATAACCCCAAAAAAAAAAAAGTAAAACAGGGGAGTACCTGAAGTATGGAGAAGTAGAGTTCTCTTGCACAGTCTTGACTTGACCCATTCTCTCCACAACATCCATTCCTTGCACCACTCTCCCCACTACCAATACCGACTCGTCCAACTCGGGCGAGTCCCGACTCGTTATCACAAACTCAGTCCCATTCGGATCCTTCCCCATTTCCTCCTCGTCCATTTCAAGCTTCCCTTTCCGCGCAACCAGCTTCATTTTCGGCGGCGGTTTCAGTGGGTCCCTCACTATTATGCCCACACTCCTCGCCACATTCTTCGTCCCCCTGCATTCCTCCTTCTGCTGTTTCTCCCATTCACTCACCAGACCTCCCACCGCCGCCGCCGCCGAATTGCCCCCGGTTCTCTGCGCGAGCTCCGCGTCCACGCCGTAGGATCTGAGGCCGCCGTGCTGCACGTAGTTCGGCATGATTTTCACGAATTCCTTCCTGCGGTAGCTGACGCCGCGCGACCCGCTCACGATCTCGCTGAACCTGGCGGCGCCGCCCGGGACGGCGTCGCCGTAGAGTCCGACGATAATCCGACCGATTGGCTCTCCGTCTATTGATATGTCGAGAAATACCTGCTTCGTCGGAGAAGGATCGGCGCAGGCGGCATTGTCGCTGGTTGTTTCAGCTCTTAATGGGCAAGGGTTGTTAACCAAGAGCAGAAGCAAGGATGAAGAGGTGAAATCTCGCCGGAATATGGGATTAGGATTGGAATTAGGTTTGGAATTAGGATTGGGAGGAGATGCTGAACAATGGGCCAATAGAGGTTTAGTTGGTGTGATATTGTGGTGATAAAACAGTCGAGTAGAACAATGCATTTTTTTTTTAATGTCGAGAATGTTGTGCTACAATTTTGATGAGTAATTTTATGTTTCCATTTGGTGATTCAAACAAACAAACGAAACAATTAATGTGTTGAACAGCATAATAATAATAATAATAATAATAATAATAATAATAATAATAATAATTAATAAATAATAATTAATAATAATATTTTGGATAAGAAAACAGAAACAGATTGTGGCACCAAATCTCCCCTTGGGTTGATATGCTCCACTGTCCAACACTTTCATCTCCACACAAATTTATTCATATATCCCACACTACTATTGGAATTTGTATTTACCTCGTTACCCATATTATGTTGGGTAATTACGAAAAACCCCTAAGCTTAGATTAAATTACAAAAATCACCTTCATCTATTTGTGATTACGAACCCCCTTATGTTTGTTTCCGTCTTACACCAACCACCTATATTGTGACTTTTCACGAATTTTTTTGTATCCAGTGAATTGACTTTACACAATTTCAAATATTTTCTTTTATTTATCATCTATTTAAGAGAAGGTATAATAGACTGTACACATTTTCTGTTAAAAAACTCGATCAACAGTTAATCAGAGGAGGATTTGGTTATTACGGATAAGTGGTGGTGTTTTTCGTTATTTAGCTTAAGTTTAGGGGTTTTCGTAATGTACCCTATTACGTTCTTACTAATCTACAATTTTTATTTATTATAAATTCTTATTGAGAATATATATTTTCAAGGTGCAGACTATTTGTACTCTACTATTTTTTTCACCACGCTCCACCAATTTGTATTCCAAAAAAATACTCTTTAATCAAAAGATCTATTTGCCCTTCTACTTTTTGGAAAAAAAATAAAAAAAAACTGAAAAATAGCACATTTCGAATATTCCTAAACTCACAAACCACGCTATATAAGTAAGAATTGTTGTATCGGTGGCATATAAGTAAGAAAATACTTACTAACTGTAGGAAAATGTTCGAGACTAAGTTGGATGTCTTTTGAGGTGGAATGCGATAAAGTTGTTGATAAAGAAACCAAAGAGTATCTTAACGACATTTGAATTTTGATAAATCAAACTTTTGCTCTATTTACCGAGGCGTTGCACATACAGTATCCTGGCAACATGAGATAACTTTCCGGCTATGTAGCACCTACATTGAAACGCGAACACGGATACGGATACAAACATGAACACGGACCGGAAGACATTTAAGAAAAAAAAAATGAAGAAATTCAAAATGACAAAAATAAAAAAAATTATTCAGAAAATTAAAAAAAAAAGTCTAAGTAATTAAATGTTTTGCAGAAAAAAATAAAAATATCAAGATTTCTCAAGTAAAATTGACCGAAAATGTTAAAAATATAGTGAAATATGACTCAAACAAACCCTTATATTTATAGGCTTAACAGGGGTATTTTTGTCAGATTTTGGAAAAAATATACCAGTAGGGAGGTTTTTGTATTTAATTTATATATATATATATATATATATATATATATATATAGGGGTAATTTGCTATAGGTCCTCTTATATTAGATTTTATGTGTAAAAGTCCAACTAATAATTTCCTATTTTTATTAAATATATTATTTTTATTGTGTCTGAAATACCTCTAACATTATATGGAAATTAAAGTCCTACTTTACATACTCCAGAAGATCCGTAATCAACGATTCATTCAAATCCCCAAAATCCCAAAAGAATAGCAGTTATTCGCAGATATGAAAAGCCACCCATCCATAAAACCGAATTGAGAAACAAAGAACCCTAGCAGTTTATAGTACATTATTTTTTTTTTTTTTTGATTTATTTTGGAAGTTTATTGTGTTTGTTATTTTATTGTTTGCAGTTTAATTACCGTTCATAAATAGTTGTTTGTATTTGCATTTTATACTTCACTGTTTACGTTTATACTTCACAGTTTAAAGTGTGTACTTCACTGTTTAAAGTTTGTACTTCATTCTTTAGCATTTTTCGTTTACAGTTTGCCTTCACTATTTGTATTTGCAGTTTGTAATTAGTAGTTGTTAATAATAGCAATTATTACATTTGTTGTTTTGTATCGTACAATCATCATCTTTTTTTGTATCACATTCAACAGCCTTTGCAAAAAAAAAAAAAAAAGGATCAAGTCATTGTTTAACAATATCGAAGAAAGGAAAAGCAATATTAAACGCATATGGACGTCCACGGAATCAATGTCAATGGAGAAAAAGTTCACGGTGTGAGAATACGAATGATTTTCGTTACTTTCTTTTCCCGCTGCATTCATGTGAATGTCCCATTGTCAAACTTTGGAACTGGACAGTCCTTGTGTGTGATAAATATTGTACTCGTGAAAGAGTGTTAACTCGTATTTACCCAGAAAAAGAGAACGACGGTCCATTTTTGTTCAGGTTGCTAACATGAACAAGGTCATCTAGAGCACCAAAAAAAATTATCGTTTCATGATTCACAATCATTTTATTGTTTCAAGTTCTTTTTACTGTTTGATAAAGCATATTCAATTTCTTGTAAATATATTACCCCATCAGCAAACTTAAACCATTGCAATTGTTCATTGGTTGTTTTTAGATTGTTGATGCACATCATATAATAATCTTACAATTTAATTTTCAGTTATAAGTTGCAATTTGTAGTTCTCTATTTTATGTTGCAAATTTATTTTGTTGTTCAATTTTTTTTTTTTTTTTTGTTGTTGTTTGTTGAAGTAAAACTAATTAGAAAATGCAAACAAAAAAACGGAATATTGTCGAGAACATACAAAATAACAATTAAAATCCAACACATATGATCTCAATAAAATTAATAATTGAAGTTTGCTTTCAAATACTTATATAAATAAAATTAAATATTTACTTTAAAGAAATGAAGAATTAATTTTCACATGTAGCTGCCTTGAGAGAGAGAGAGATGTGTGTAGGTGTAGAGAGGAGAGAGGTTGAGAGATTTATTGGATTTGTTCCCTCAATTTCTAAAATAACTATTTACATATATAAATATTAATTGGGGGGTATCTATGTCTATATACACTAATAATTTAATTTAATTTAATTGAACAATGACCTACACCTATATTCATCTTATAGAATGGATCTCCACCTATATAAGTCTAGAATAAGGGATGTCTAGCCAATTTCCCTTATATATATATATATATATATATATATATATATATATATATATATATATATATATATATATATATATATATATATATATATATATATATATATATATATATATATATATATATATATATATATATAATAATAATAATAATAATAATAATATAATAATAATAATAATAATGATAAAATAATAAATTGCGAGAGGGAGGGGGGGAGATAAGGGAAAAAAAAAAAAAAAATAGAGAAAAAACAAAAAAAAAAACAAAAGAAAAGGAGGAGGGAAGCAGGGAAGGCGTCAAAACCCCACCTCACCTCTTCTGTCCTCGGTACCCGCACCCGTGACATCAGCACTCTCTTGCTGATGTCATATCACTCAACTGTCACACCTAAGCCTCCCGAGTTGATCCGTCCACCCGAGTTGACCCGTCTTGACGAGTCGACTCGCTCACCAAGGAAGACCCTTTTGCACGTTCAAAACTGGGTGACGTCATGCCAAACCTTGATGACGTACTCCTCCCGTCCCTCATTTTCTGTGCACAGCCAAAGCACCAGAAGCTCACTTTGTTCTCGGGAAGCGCGCCATGCACTTTTTTTCTTTTTAATTTCGGCCAACAAGTCCGAATTTCACGAAATTTGCCCGGCGGCTTCTAAATTTTCCACACCACCGCGTGTAGCTCTAATTTTTTTTAATTTTTTTTTCACCGTCCAACTCAAAAATTAATTCAACGGCTTCGTTGCACGATTCATTGAAGTCACGTAATTTTTCTTTTTTGATAAATTGGCCTTCTCGAGACGCGCTTTGATTTGAACAACCGTTAAACTTTCGCCCTCGAAATTGGAGCGTCCGCCACCGCATTTGGGGCCTTGGAATTACGTACGAATCCAAACCTCGAGGGTCGCACCTACACGAGACCCTAAAATACTTGAATTTCCTTCGACTCCTCGAGGCATGGAATTTCAATCGCCGAAACAACAAGGGCGCTCCGCTAACATCGCCTCAGCAAGACCCCTATGGCCAACTTCTAAATTCGAGGCTACCTTGGGACTCCATAAATAAGAAAAATTCTACGGCTTCGAGCGACCATTTCTAAGTTACTCCCAAGCAGGTCTGCTTGCCCGTGACCCAACTTGGGAGTGGGGGCTTAATGATGTGGCTAATTAGGTTTTTGGCCCATAAAAGCCCAAATGAACCCAATTAATAACAAAAACCCAGTTTTCACCTACTACTAAAATTCCATATGATCTTAGTTTAAACTTATTGTCCCACATCGGATTTCTACAAGAAGTCTACCTATTCTCTCACCTATAAATATATGATTTAATTAATATAATGAGCTACCCAAACAATTAATTAATATTTGTTATTTATATTATGATAGTTTTCTGACTTGAGCTAGTATTTTCAACTATTTTATAAGACTATGGAGTGGGATTACCTCGACACAAGTGACTCTGACCCTTGGCATTCCCTATCAGTGCGAGTTCAAAGATTCTTGAGCAGGATCACATGCAAATAACTAATTAAATATTTATTAAATTAGCTTTCAACTTGACTAACATATACTTTTATATATATATATATATATATATATATATATATATATATATATATATATATATATATATATATATATATATATATATATATATATATATATATATATATATATATATATATATATATATATATATATATATATATATATATATATATATATATATATATATATATATATATATATATATATATATTATATCATTAATACTTAGAACCAACTTACATAATTAATAAGTCATAGAATAATAATTTACGTAAATTAATTCACATAGTTAGATAAAAAGCACATATATATCTACACGTAAGTCGCATAATAAGTAAAAATAATCGACATAGGCTTCCATTCGGGAATCTTTTAGTTCGTACAAATTTGAGAACATTCCATATAATCTAGAAGATTCAATTAAATTTGACACAATAGGGAATTCATAATTGAGGAGTGATTGTAAATACCTAAACATGAGCGGTGTTTTCGTAATTTGACCTGACCTAATGGGTGCTTGTAATTTAGCATTAGATTTATAGTCCGAACTAGCCTCCGCCATT